AATTTTTTGTAAAGAATTTAAGCTATCACTGAAAGTTTTTCCAGTGACCTTCAGCTAGATGACAGCAATAGGCAGTGGTAAATTCCTGATGAATCTTTACCAATCTGCACCCCGCTATTTTCAATGATAAAAAGTTTGCTAATTTTCACCGACCCGAGACACATATTTTAAGTATTCATCTTGAAATAATTGATTCATCATATCCTCGTACCCTGACGCCAGAAATACTTGACACACTGGTCTACGGGAGGTAACTGTTTTTTTTTTTTTTTTGGTTGTTATTGCCTCATTGTTAGGGAAAAAAATGCATTTTTAAGATTAAAAAGCAATATACAAGTATATGCAAAGTTTCTATTTTCTTCTTATGCCCCGGATCGAAAGATCCCGGGGGAATATGTTTTTGTCCTGTCTGTCTGTGATTGACTGTCTGTTGTCAACTTGAACCTAGCCTTTAACTTTGGCTATTACTTTTGAACGGTAGATTTGTCATATATGTATTTTTTGTGACAAGACCTTTCATTGGATACCAACAACTATGACCTTTTGACCTTGACCTTAAAGATTCAATAATTTAAATGAATGTAGTTTAGAAGAAACTTTAACCTCGGCTATAACTTTTGAACGGTGAGGGCTAGGGCTTTCATACTTCACATATGTAATTCTTTAGCTGCAGAACTGTAGCTCTCCGAAAATATACATGTATATTGGCAGACCGCAGAGCTACAGTGCCACCCATTATAAAAACTGTATATTTATTGCGCACAAAAAGTGCGCTGTTTCTCGATTTATTTCTCCATGTTTTTAAACTATCATCTCAAAATATTACTAACCGTGTGTTCCTAACTTATTCTTTCACTAATTTCACAACAAAACATTCCTTCTAATGATGTTAATAGCCCCCTGGCCCTGAAATTGAGATCATCCCGTATATATTGAAATTGAGATCATAAAGAGACTGGTATTTTTCTGAGGGTGAAATGTAGTATCTTATTTGCATTTCCGATGATTATTGAAGAACATGTCTGGATATATGTGATAATTTATGTATTCTTAGATTATATAGATAAAGCCATATTTTAATAATTTTTTTGTATTTTAAGTTTGCCAAGATAAATATTGGTGTCAGAAAAATATTAATTGAAACCAGATTAAAACATCACTGGATTTACATGAAATTGTCACAAGATTTTGCAAAAAAGATGTCAATAGCAACTCCTTTCAAAATGGACTTATACGACTTATAAGAACTTGCCATTTTGGTTTGGAAGATAATTCAGTCCAACGCGTTTCGTGCAGATGTGGACTACGAAAGAACTTGGTGGAGAAGTAAGAATCTTTTTGATATTTATATTTTTTTTTTTGCGATTGAGGTAAGAATTTGGAAGAATTTATCCAGAGCTAAGTGTAACTTTTTGTGCGCCAAAAATATACAGTTTTTACAATGGGTGGCACTGCAGCTCTCCGGTCTGTCTTTTTTTTTTCGGAGAGCTACAGTTCTGCAGCTAGTACTTCTTGTGAGAAGACCTTTCATTGGATACCAAGAGCTTTGCCCTTTGACCTTGGAGTTTGACCTACTTTTAAAAACAAACCCTGACCATAACTTTTGAAGGGTTAAGGCTAGGGCTTCCATACTTCAAATATTTAATTTTTGTGACAAGAACTTTCAATGGATATCAAGAACTGTGACCTTTTACATACTTTTTAAAAACTTTAACCATGGCATAACTTTTGAACGGTTAGGGCTAGGTCTTTCATACTTCACATATGCAATACCTGTGACAAGACATTTCTTAAGAAACCAACAACTTTGACCCTTTGACCTTGAAGTTTGACCTACTTTTAGAAAAAAAAACTTGACCATAACCTTTAAATGGTTAGTGCTTTCATTCTTCACATAAACAATACTGGTGTCAAGACCTTTCTTAAGAAACCAACAACTTTGACCTTGGAGTTTGACCTGATCCTTGGCCATAACTTTTGAACAGGTAGTGCTAGGGCTTTCTTATTTCAAAATCGTATTTCTTGTGAGAAGACCCTACTTTGGATACAAGTATATCTAATTTGCATTTAAGAAAAGTTTATTATTCGCTATGTTGCCGTACGGGGGCATCAGTGTTTCACAAACACATCTTGTTCCTTATAACTTTTGACTGAGAGATAGGGCTTTCATATTTTTTGACATGTGCATTACCCGTGACAAGATATTTCCGAGCATGCTATGATTTCTGACCCCTTGACCTTCACGATTGACCTTAGTTTAAAAAAATCAACTTTGGTGATAATTTCTAAATGACATGTGATAGGGCGTTCATATTTGACACAATATGCATAGGCGCTTGGGTCAAGGATACTGTATTTTTTCTACATAATGTATTGTCGAGGAAATTCGAACCAGACTCGTAACATTTTTTTCTGTGCGCAGTATTAATTTTTGTGTTTTTTTGTAAACCTTTTTGCTTCATATACACTAGAATGTCACGGAAATTTGATTTTATGCACGCTTTAAAAATGACATATCCCACTGTATACTAAAAAGAAACAAGGTTTGCAACTTCATTTGCCCCTTTCCGTACCCGGCTTGATTTTTAAAAAGATATATGCACCGTTTACCAGCTGAATTACGAACCCCCATCTCTCCAGATAATTCTTATATAATGATAAAAATCCTCAGGTGTAAACTTTTCACCCATCTTATATTTTTAAATAATTATTTTCTCTCCATTTTCGCTCGTTTAATCCTCTAGTCCCCAAATTCCAAACCCCCAAAAATGTTACTAGTTCGAATTTTCTCGACAATACATTACATAGAAAAAATACAATATCCTTGACCCAAGTTTCTATGACAGTGTCATAAAAAATGACATATCACCCACAAAGACATGAAAGTTGGGGACCACAATTCTTTGAATTTGCTTGTTTATTCAAAGTTTTACAAAAATTTTGAATTGAAAAATATTTGTATATAATAAGGATGGTTTTAGAAAGGAAGAATTTTGAACATCACAGAAGGTAAACAATTTCTTTATAATCTAAAAATTTATTATTTGCATCATTTGCAATAGAATTAGGCCAAAAAATATATGTAAGAGGGCGAAGTATATTTTGCATCGGGTTCGAGATTCAGATTGAAATTTTTATAAGTTTACAAATTATGAAAAGGAAAATTATTTTTATGTTTATATCCTTTTTCAATAATTGAAATAACGTTAGTATTTGGCTGTAAGTAATTTTCATAATTTATTTTTAACACTTGTGAATCTGTCAATTGATTGGTCAATTAACCGAATGTACAGTAGGCCATTTTTTGGCGGTGTTTTCACAGTAGATGTTGACCAGTGAAGACGTGTGTCAGCCGTGTTATATGTTATACTAAACGCCTTTTGTCTGATATATGTGAGTAATGATATTTTTGTTTTGCATTCATATTACACTAGGTACTTATGTCACAAGTGAATGATTATTCTATATTTTGTGAAATATGCAACTGTGTAATTTCCCGATTGAAAGTTGTTACCATTTAGTCATTTGTTTATAAGTATGTTTATAGGGTAAAAATAATAGATGCCCTGATGTTATATATGATTTTAAAAGATTGTTCAATGCAAAACATCTTTATTATAATAGTGGTTCCTTGTCAAGTACATGTATGCATAGTTTGGATGAATTGAGTAGTAAGACCTGATTGTGTTTATAGTGAACAGTCCTCATGTGATGACGTCACAGTGACCGGAAGTCATACTGCATTCCTTACTTAGGTTTGTGAACTGTGTACATTTTTTTTTATCACTAATTATTTATACTGCATATTTATTTCTTGCTAAGATGATATGCTGTATGATAAAGTGTAACAGAAGTCTGACTGTCATAAATATTTCTTAATGAAATGGACATTACTTTTTCCTAATATTGAAATGTCAAGAGGTTATGTTGTACTTGTTTACATTAATTTTTTTTTTGACATTCACTTTCAATTGTGTATTGTTTATTCTAGGACCACTGTCATCATAACCATAACCATTGATAATCATTTGTTGATCATCAAATCAAGAATAAAAGAACTACAATACAAGAACAGTATTCTCTTGTGTTACATATATACCAATCTAGACATCCATTTTTTGGTTTGTATCATCTGACCTTAATAGAAAAAAAATCGACAGATTGTTTTTTAAATATCCGAATACATCAACATCTTTGGACTTAAGGTACTCCGATCCTCAGGTTCTGAAAATCAAGCATTGACTAATTGAAAATGCTTACAAAAATGTCTCTGAATTTTCAAAGTAACGTGTTTTACCCACAATAATTCCTCAATTTTCATCTTTCAAGTTAATCATATTATATAGAGAAAATTTGTTAATCTCAAATATATTTTCAGGAATTGCAAATAAAAACACTTGCTATGCATATTCCTTTTCAAATTTGATCAATTAAAACATTTAAAAATAAAAACCCTAGGTATCCAGGCTTTTGAAAAAAATCCACAATTTTTATGCATATACTGTACTTTAATTTCTTTTATTTACTTCCATCATTTTACAATGCAAAGTGTATAGAGATTCTCCTGTCATTGTGAAGCACCATAAATCACTTCCAATTTCATATCATGTTAATAAACATTGGTATCTATGGTTAGACTAAAATGAACATCAATTTCTTGATATATGTAATTTTAAAATGTTTTTTCGGGGTAAAAATTTCGACTTTTTATTAGACCTTTCTGACAACTTCAAAGAACCTTGAAGCACATTGAAAGGTATATAATGAAATTTGTTGCATGAAAAGATTTAATTTTTAAGCTTCATTTTGAGACTTTTTGAATTAAATTGTAAATTAAAGAGTTGTCCTTCCTGGCTGAGGATCGGAGTCCCTTAATGATTTCGATTAGCCAGTGCACCTACATGTATATCTAAGATAAGAAATAATGATATTTTCATTATTTAGCGAATACTAGAATGTTAATATTAATACTACTTGCAGATAACTCAAAAGGCACTGAATTTCGACAAGTAGATTTATGAACCTGTTTGGGAAAAAAGGATATTTAAGCTTAGCAAAAAATACAACCGACTTATAGGATAGTATATATTATTACGGTTCATTGTACGTTGATCTCCCGCAATGCTTCAACGGTCGGATTCCTTAAGTTATTATTTTAATAGTTTATGCATTGCCAAATGAAGAAATCGAGCGTATACAGGTTAACATGAATGCAAATAACTTTACTTTACAATATGAAAGTATTTGTTTGATTTTTGCACAATGAAAGCAAAAATAAAGAAATATTACACACAAATTCATTATCATAAATATAATGTAACTTCGATGGTTTAATAATGAAAGAAGTAAGCATGAAAAAATTGAATGTCTGCAATATTTCATGCAGAGAGAAGACTAGCATTGTTATGCCTATATTTACACCACTGTATCTAATGAGTTTGCCAGCGGCATCTGTTTTGTTGGAACATCATTCAAAGTATTTTATTTTCATAATTCCTCCAACATTCCTGAGTCCTGACAATTGTTAAGAATCGATTAAGACATTCCAGGGCAAGTGTTTCGTCTTGCTGTTCGTCATCACAGGAAATATTGTTACACAAAACACAAATGTAGCCGCTGTCAGCATGAACACACACAAGCATCTGTTACAGGATACGGTACTTTTTTCCATCTGCATTTTACACCGGGAAAACGACTTTTCTTGGGATTTTCTTTGCTTTTTTCGGTCTTGTTTTTGTTTTTCCGACGTTTAGAACCTTTCCGTTTTCTCTTGCAAGTCCATCTTAAAAGCTTGATAACCTTACTTCGAGCTGAGGCACAGTACATTCCCGACGGAAAGGAACACGACACTTCCGTATTGCACGAGCCTCGCTTTACCCACCGAGGCCAAAACAGGACGCTTAGGTCCTCCCATTCATATTCAACTTTACATGATCCATAGGTCATCATTCTTCTAAAGAATGATACAGTTTCATCAACATATTCAGTTGTATTTTCAATCTGAAATTTATAGGACTTGGTAAAATTTTCAATATCCTCTAATATTTGTAGTCTTATGTGATTGGGTCCAGTAACAGTGATTTCTTTTTCCGTCTCGATAGGTTTTTGTACAGACATCCAAAACTCATCAAAGTCGTTTCCAAGTCTCCTTCGTAGTCGTTTTTCCTTCAGCTGTTTTCCTTTTGGAACATATTGCATAAGTCCCGGAAGTCGTCCAAACGGGGGAATTTTAATGACAGGTCTACCATAAACAGTTTTATTCGGTAAACCTTGTGGAAACTCGAGCTTAGAGATCCTGGAAATAATGTCTGTATCACTCAATGATTCCGAAAGTCGACCAAAAAGTAATACGATAAGCACGAGATAAACTCCCGCCATTTTCTGAAAGAGTAGTGACAATTTATTTTTTCATAGATTAGAAATATTTTTCTGTTACAACAGTAACCCGACACCCTTTTCTTCACTGACCTTTTTCCAAAAAGTAATACATGTAATGTAAAGAATTTATTTTTATTATCACTAACCTTCCTTAAATTTCTACTAGCTCAAATTTTAATATGCATAATAAATCTAAATATCGACCGAATATTGGATCACTGTGACACAACTAGATCATACAACGTTTATACCTACCTTACATGCGCGTGGGTAAAAGAATCCCAGGCATTAGTGAACCAAGCCTGTGATTTTATATACCTACATCAATTAACATTAATACAATGTTTTTTGCCATCTATTTCTGCAGCACGCACGCATGTGATCATGATATAATTATTTGTGCCAGATCCAAAATAAAACAAATATGCAAAGGAACAGATAGTTAACAGAACAGTAATTTTTCCTCGTGTGTTGGTTAAAAACTCTGTTCAGACAACTAGAAATTTTACAATGAAGACCTAGCATGTGAACCTTCACAATTCATGATGTAAATTTAAGTAATCAATATCATTTCGAATATTTTTATTTCAAATTAAATTATCTTCCTATTCGTACAGATAAAGTTTAATAACAAAATAATTTAAACAAATTTTATAACGATATCAAGAATTACTCTTTATTTACTCAAATGGTAAAAGGCTAAAGTGTATTTAAAGAATGTATTCAGTTCAAATGAGCTTCGTTTCGTTACAAAAAAGTATACGAAAATAAACGCTATTCCATGTCGATTGATTTTCTCACAGAAAATAATTAAAATAATTTCTTCTCAAGATCAACAAGATGAAATTTGAATGTATTATAAGACATTGCCATTATTTAAAAAAATATTTCATACATGAAATTTGAATGAATTCTTTTGCATATGTTAGCTAATTACTGATATCAATAACAAAGAGAAAATTTAGAACATACGTAAAGTTGAGAAATAAAGAATGAGAGATAATTTACACTAATCAGTAGATATTATGACGCAACATATTTATTAGTCAAAAGAATGGTAAACATTAGAAAATACTCACGCATTACCATAGAGATGGGGTTGATCTGCATTGCTCGCAGTGCAGAGAGCACTGTGACAAAAATGCCTGATTATCCAGCACCGAATTCTACATAGTTGATGATTACTTGCGGGACATCACGTACTTGCCTAACGAACGATCAATTACATTGGGGCTTGATTAAATGTGCAAAGTTTTTTGGGTGAAGAAAGGAACAAAAACCTGCATTCAACCGTTATCTCTCAGAATGAAATCTGATTGCATCAACTGTTACTCTTCGGCAATCAGTTTGAATTAATCTCCCTGGATAAGAACTCCGACAATGACACTACATCTTGAGATGATGAAGGTTGTCTAGTTACGTCAATAAAATACGTCAGATTCTTAAGCGTAATCCCATATAATGATGCTCCTTTTCAAGTTTGTTTTTTAGTCTCATTCTGCTACTGGAGGGTTGTACTTGTTTCTCCTTCTTACAAACTGACAATGATCATGTACTTAACAAGAGGCCCAAGAGCATTAACGATCACCTGGGTATAATACAACAACTTAAAGGTGCATGGACACAAATTCGAAGTTAATATTTTCTGTATAATATTATGACATATATTTTAATAGCATTTCACACAAAAATACATTAAAATTTTTATTTCATTTTAAAGTTATGGAAACTTCAAATTTTTAGACGGGTTTGGTTGACACATAGTTGCACCTTTACAAATTTTAATTTTGTTCTTAATACTAAGGAAAACTGGCAATCTTGTTGTGTATAAATGAAAAAATATTAAACGTATAATCAGAAAACTAGAGTAGAAATGTTCGAAAGCCAAATATACACACAGTATATGATCAGTCCGTGCAGTTGTGGTGAGCTGACTTTAACAATTGAACGCACCCGGTGAATCGTTAAACATCAACAATAACAGAGCTCGTGCCCTGTCTACAAAAACTGTACGATTCACGGGTGTAATCAATTTGCTAAACTCTGTACACAACACTTAGCGCAGAATGACGATACTTGTGAATGGGATTTGCTTTCTAAATTTTTTTTCTGAAAATAATTAAATTTTCTGGATTAAAGTTTTAATATTTTTCATTTATACACAACGATATTGCCACTTTTATTAAGTATCAAGAATAAAAGTAAAATTTGTGAGAGTGATAGGATGTCAATCATACCCATCCAAAAATTTTAATTTTCAATAACTTAAAGATAAAATAAAATTTTTAATATATTTTTGTGTGAAACTTCAAATCTACAGGTGTCCATGCACCTTTAAAGGATTGATAGAATATAAAATAAACTGGAAGATGTAATCTCCATGATAAGTTTGTTGCATTTTATTTTGAATGTCCATTGTATATTGATATAAGAAAGAAATTTTTGAAAAAGTATTTAAATTTGGGCAAATTTTTGAATGCTCCCACAATTTTAAGAAAAAATAAAATTGATGTATAGTATCATTTCCATGTATGTGTTCTTTGCGTTCATTCTCCAAAAGCAAGAGAAATTGATGATCAGGATCAATGAAGTAATTAGTGTAATATTTAGTAACAACTCATAAATTAAATTACAATCTTCCCCAAATTAATCACTATCGCCGTTCAGATATTAACGAACTATTAGAGCTTCTGTACAAAAGTTCTCACATTGGCCTCTGTTGGTCTTTGAAGAACATTTTAATGAGTTATTTTTGTGGGTTTTTTTTTTTAAATTAATTATCTACATTAAATTATTCTCTTTTTTTATATACACTTTTAAAATACACTAATAACATTGATTAACTACCAGAAGGCATAGTTTCTCTCAGTAGAATACAAATTTATAGAACCTTGGCAAGGACCAGAACGTTTGCCCAAATGGTCCAGATGTTTTTAGGTCACCTGAGTAAACTGAGGTGACCTATAGCTATCCATTTTTGTCCGTCGTCGAACGTTGTGCGTTAACATTTGAATATTTTCAGCTTCTTCTCTTCTAGTGAAAATTAATGCATTATTTCTTTCAAAATCTTCTTTGCTCCTGAGTATTAAATAAACAAACCAAATACATAGTTATGTTGAATAAGGCTGCCTCTTCCAAAATTATGGATTTCATGGCTCCCGGTTCAGGGGTTCTGGTGATAGGCGGGGATCTATTAATTATATAGTACAAAATGCATAAATTCTTTGAAAATCTTCTTTTCTGCTCCTGGGTATTAAACAAACTAACCAAGTCCATAGTTATGTTGAATAAGAGTGTCTCTTCCAAAATTGTGAATTTCATGGCCTCTGGGTCAGGGGTTCTAGGGTTAGGGTTGGGCTTTCTTGATTACATGTTGAAAATACATCAATTCTTTAAAAATCTTCTCCTCTGCCCCTGAGTATTAAACCAGTGAACTATGTACATAGTTATGAGGAGGAAGGATGCCCCTTCCAGATTTGTGAATTTCAGGGCCCCGCGGGTTTAGGGGTTTTGGTATTAGGGCGAGGCTCTAATGATTATATACTCAGTAGTGAAAATGCAAATGGATTCTTCGAAAACCTTTTCCGTTGCACCTGGGTTTTATGCCAATGTTCTAAGTACCTATTAATGATGATGAAAGGTGCCTCTTCCAAAATGGCTAATTTTAGGGCCCATTGGTCAGGGTGCTTGGGGTGGGGGTTACATAGTCTAAAAGTAAATTAATGCTTTGATATCTGCTTTTTGGTATTAGTCAACCATTAAGATGAAATAAAATTTATGATAAAATTTCCAGAATTTGAAATATGTGCTCCCAGGGTCATTGGTTCCTGTGGGGTGGGGTGCACAACGGGTTATGAAGTGGAAATGCATTTTCTCTTTGTTACTCTGATCTACCTATGGGTATTAAGTAACCAAAGTAAGCAAACTAAGTGTATAAATTATGTTAAGCAATAGTGCCTCTTTCAAAATTTTGAATTTCATGGCCTTTGATTTAAAACGCAAACCAATTCAATTCTTGGAAAGTTGTTACATGATACTCAGATGACCTATAAGGCCCCTGGGCCTCTTTTTTTTTTAAATCTGGTAAAAAATATCCTTGCTTGTTAAAACTTTTAATATGCAATGGAGCAGAGAAGATTTTTCAAAATAAATAATGCATTTTCACTACAGATTCAACACAACCCTACCCTAACACCAAAAAGCATGACCCAGGGTCATGAATTTCACAAATTTGGAAGAAGTACCCTCATCATCATAACTCTGCACTTAGTTGAAGATTTTCAAAGAATTTACGCGTTTTCTCTTTATTATCAATAGACCCCCACTCCCCAATAAGAACCCTGGGACCATGAAGTTAAAAAAAAAAGTAGCAAACTCTTATTCATCATAAGTATGCACTTTGTTTATCAGCTCAACACTAAGGATTAGACAGGGTTATTTCACAGAATACTAGTAAATGCATTTCCATTAATTAATAGAGCCCCGCCATAACACCAGAACCTCTGACCCAGGGACCATGAACTTCACAATTTTGGAAGAGGCACTCTTGCTAATCACAACTACAGTAAAACTCGTGTAGTGCGCACACGGATATAGAGAAGTAATCTTGGATCTCAAACAACACAAATTTAACGAATTCCTTTTACGGATATAACGAATTACGGATATAGGGAAGTAATTTTTCAGGTCCAGTGACTTCGTTTTAAACGAGTATTACTGTATATACTAAGTAACTTTAATACACAGGAGCAGAAAGTAACATTTTCAAAGAATAATTGCTTTTCATTATATAATCAATAAAGCACGCCCTAACACCAGAGGCCTTCACCCAGGAGCAATGAAATTGATTTGACAATTTTGGAAGAGGCACTCTTGCTCATCATAACTATGTCCTTAGTTAGTTTTATTTAACATCCAGGAACAGAGAATAGAGCCCGCCCTTAAAAAAGAACCCCTAAAACAGGGTCCATGAAATTCACAATTTGTGAAGAACTCTTGGTCTTCATAACTATGTACTTAGTTTGTTTAAAACCTAGGAGCAGAAAAGAAACAAGAGGCTCATGGGGAACATCGCTCACCTGAGTAACTTTGGTGATGCAATTCTTTGCCAGATTGCCCTCCTTATAATATCTATTAGGGCCCCTTCCTACCCCCCCCCCGCGTCATGAATTAAACAATTTAGAATCTTTACTACCCAAGGATGCTTCTAAATAAGTTGCAGTGGTTCTTGAGAATAAGTTGCAGTGGTTCTTGAGAAGAAGATTTTAAAAGATTTTTCCTATATATTTCTATGTTAAAACTTGAATTCCCTAATGTGACTACGCACTACTCAAGGGGGTCATGATTTTAACAATTTAGAATTTACACTACTTCAGGATGATTCCATATAAGTTTCATGTTTTCTGACCCAATAGTTCTTTAGAAGAAATTTTTCTTATAGATTTTCCTGTTGTATATATTTCAAAATAAAACTTGGATTCCCTATTGTGGTCCCGCTCACCTCTAGGGGTCATGATTTTAGCAATTTGGAAACTACACTACGCAAAGATACTTCCACATAATTTCAAGTTTTTCTGGCCTAGTGGTTCTTGAGAAGATTGTACATGTATATTGTTCAACGTCCCTCTCGAGAATTTTTCACTTATATGGAGACGACACCACTTGCCAGTGGAAAGCCGCATATTTTGTCCTATACTCGGCACTTGGGGCCATTGAACAGGGAGTGATCTTTTTCGTGCCAGCACCTACTGCGACAAGGGACCTCGCTTTATACGGTCTCATCCGAAGGACCGGTCTCCACGTCCCACAGTGGGATTCGAACCCGCGACGTAAGGATTGACTCCTTACTTCTCAACTCTAGAGCAGACGCTCTAACCACTGCGCCACGCGGGTGACGTTCTTGAGAAGAATTTTTTTTCTATATATCTCAATGTACAACGTCCTACTCCCGGGGGTCATGATTTAAACAACTTAGTATCTACACTATCCCAGGATGCTTCCAAAGAAGTTTCACCTTTCCTGGCCCAGTGAGTTGAAGATTTTTCAATGAAACCACCTAATTTATGTCTTTTATTGATTATCTCCCCTTAAGCCTGTTAGGGGTCTTGGTCCTTCATTTTTACAAATGAAACTCTCCTTTACCCAAGGAGGCCTTGTTCCAAGTTTGGTTAACATTGACCCAGTGGTTCTTAAAAAGTTGAAAATGTGAAATGTTTGCAGACGGACGGACGACGATTGATTGACTGATTGTATGTTGTTTTATGTCCCATTCGAGAGACGTCACCATATACCGACGAAGGGCTTCAAATTTTGACCTTTACTCGGCACTCAGGGCCATAGAGCAG